TATCTTTTATTATTATAATTAATTAATTTAAATCAGCAAACAATGCACACGTCTAGACAATAAGCACACGGCGTATACGTAATCTATAATATGTGCATAGTCTATAATTTTTTTAATATGTAATGTATAGTATTTAACATAATTAGTAGTGTGAGACACATAGACTGAACTGACTTGCCTCAACAAATGCTCCCCTAAATATAAATGGCTAATAGACCGTCGCTTACACGTCGTATACGTAACGTGGCCAACCGACTGCATTGCACATAACATACATTTATATAGAAATGCATGCACTTTTGAACTGAAAGTCTGAAAGTCTGACAGTCTCACAGTCTCACTAAATTTAGACTTGGCCGCCTTTAGCGTGTCGCCAAATGCTAAAATTAATTATTGCTGTCTGCTGGCGTGGCTTTCACTTCTTCTCTCTAATGTGCAGCTAAATAGATCGTTTATTTTTGGCAGCTGAACGAGCGAGTTGAACAGGTGCACTGATTGGTAAACAGTTTGCGGGCCGATTGAAGAGCCGCCCAATTCCATTTTCAGGGCTGTGTCTTTAATCTAATCAAGACATCCGCGAAAATCGAAAAAATTTAATTTAATTAATTTGTCCGCCTTCGCAATTGCTGATAGCGAAATTCAGGTTGAGATCACGTGAAACATTTCCTGACACAAAATTAGCTCGGCCCCATCTTTCTTAAGCTCCGTCCAAACAAAGTGAAATTTATATATCTTTTCGCCAGTTTATTTATACCAATGTATATATAATCATTATTATCATAAGCTTTGCTAAGCTAGCAAATCTATTCACATCTTGTTTTCAACTTTCTGTAATTTTTTTCTTCTTGTCTGCTCGCATTACTCATTTATGATGTTGAGCAAAGAACGAGGCGTGCATGAATTATAAGCTTTCTACGGCAGCAAATATTGGCCAAGTGTTGCTCTGCTGTCTTCTCGACGTCTTATCAAGTTGATATGACAGCTTGCAAAAAGTAACTCAATTAAAACTCTTACCCAAATAAAAAGAGGCAAGAAAATACTCTATGTGGAACTTCGGTTTTGAAATTTGAGTATAGAGGAAATACTTTAGTCTACTCTATGAAATTCCCATATAATACTGGATTAGTATAAAGAGTTTAATCATGAATATGAATCACGCTGAGTTATTCAGCATTTATCTATGAAAGAGTACAAAAAATATAATTATAAGAGATATGCCTAAATACCGATAAGTCTACTTTATAGTTTATCTAACTGAAAGACAGCTCTATTATAAACAGGTTCAATGAGCCAGAGGATTATCAGAAAATGTTTAACGTCCAATACCTTATTCTCAATCAATCTGTTATAGGATAGATCATTACATAAAATATGATTATAAAAAGCTTATAGAAGTTAACTTTTCTCAAGCTTATTTTTTATATCATATGCCTTAATAATAGAGTATTATCATAAAAACTTGATTAACAATACATAAGGTAACTCTATACCGCATATCAATTATTAAAGGCTCAATTTATCAATCCACATACAAACGACAAAGAGTATCATAAGACAGTAACCTATCATATATCATAATTATATATCTCATATCCCACACTACACCTACAATATTTCTCTTTTAATTTCTCTAATCAAACGCAAGCATTTTGTCAACTTTCAATTAAAATTGACAGACAGATCTCATGTAGAGTACGCTGATAGCCCATGAGTAAAGCAGCCCACTTGTAAATCCCAGACACTTGTCTTCTCATTGCATTCGGTTTCCATTTGTGGAATAAGGTCTTACGTATCTCATCATAATCTCTATAAAAAATAAAAGCAAATAAAAGCCGGCAATCAAAACATTACGACACATGAAACACATATTTATATGTATCACAATATATATACTTACAGGGTATACTTGCTTAGTTACTTGCATTACATTAGCACAAGTCATGAAATCAGCGTCGACAAGTTCGAACTGATAAAAAAAAAAAAAAAGTGTGTGTAGGTTCTCGTAATACTATTGCAGTTATCTCCAGGCGTGCCTATCACAACAACAACAACAACAACAGCAGCAACAACAAAATGAAATATAATACAATATAACATATACTACACAAACATTCTCTTTCGCTACCGCTCTCTCTTTCTCTCTATCTCTCTCTCTCTCGCTCTCTGACCAAAAACAATATATTTTAGCCATTATCTTTGGAGTTTCGTAGATAAATCGTACAATGGGGCTTTAGCATTTCAGCCGGAGCACTTACAGTTCCAGTACCTAAACCAGAACCAACTGACTATATACCACTGAAATATGATCCGCTCTACGGTCGACTAACCGAACCTGTTAATTAAGTGATCGATTGTTGATAAAAGAACGAAAAAAAGAAAGAAAACGAAACTATTAATAAAGAGCGGCAAACACACGGTTTTTTGATTATTATTATTATTGCAAATATGAGCAAAGATGATAAGTGTAAGTAAATAATACAATGTTAACTCTGAGGTATTTTCCAAAAATGGCAACACGCGTGGACTTCAATTTTGATTAGAGAACAGAATACTTCTGGTGTCGATTGGCCCGTCGTGTGAGCTCGTGATTATGATTTGCAATTTGTTTCAGTGATCGAGTGAGTGTGTCGCATTCCCTAATTTAGTATGTCAACAGGTGAATGTGTTTGAAAATGATATATACTAGCTGAATGCCAGAGAAGCTTAACAGCTAAATCTTTATTAACTTGAATAAAATGCCAAAATTCTAAAGAACTGTTTGAAAAGTAGAACCAAATGTTAAATAAATCGAAAGACTGTATTCTAAAATCTCTAAATATCTAAGTGAATCTTATGAACTTTGTCATTTTCTTTTACTTTCGTATAGATATATAAAAAAAATTTTAATTTGATAAATCAGAAATTTTTACTTCAAATGTGGGTTTTATATAGATGATTTAATCTTAAAGCATTATCAAAGCCCCTCTGTACTATTTTCAAATTTAGAACTTTGAAGTGTTTTTCAAATAGCTCTAGGCTCTTTTTAAGCTTCCACTCTATCAACTTAAACAATACTCAGACTTTAAATTGTTTTACTTACTTAAAATCCTGTATATCGATAAATATATTGATCCGATTGTCTAGCTACTGTTGCTCAACGGCCACAACAATTGAAACTTGGTCAACAATATTGGCAGCAACGTCAAATGCAATTTAGCGAGATGGAAGCCTCTTTCAGTTAGCAGACTCACGCTCAAATCCAGCTTAAATATAAATACGATTAGTTCAGGTATATACTATATAAACATTTTTAACATCCATTTATTGTGCTCCACTCCAATTAAAAAAATCTAATTAAACATTTTGCCATCATAGACGCCCGCACAGCCCAATTATTGCTAGCGAAATTTTCTATCTAGGTTTGAGTGTGCTGCCAACACCCTCACTCATAAACGCACACTCACGCACATAGACAACACACACACACACATATATACACATACACACCCACAAAAACACACACACACACACTTTTAATTTGTTGCTGATGGAAAGTGACAAGCGATATAAAAAAAAAGATATATACAAAGGGACCACGCCCCTTTTGTATCTGTTGATTTATGATTACGTAACTTTTTGCGCAACAATTCACTTTTTTGTGCTTTTTGAAGACTTCTCTAGTTGAGTTACGAGGCAGCAGCTCAAATTTCCAGTAAAATAATTAAGAACAGAAAAGGGAAAATGAAAAGTCGTTTACAATGAAAAATGAGACAGTTTCCCTTCGGCAAGTGTCACAGCAGAAGCTGCGAAAGAGAAATATTTTTGTATATAAACTCTAAAAATAATAACAATCTACTTTTTATATATTCGAAATTATAAATTCATTAAAATATTCGCACATATTAATTTAAAAGTAAATCATAAATAAATATAAAATTTGTTATATTTTTAAATGTTTTAAATAAATTGAAATTTAACATTTATATGACCTATTAACAAGCTATATCAACATATATTTGAATTTCAAATGCTGAGGGAGAAAGTATATTAAAAGCGTGCCAAATGCATATTTATATTGACTGCCTTATCGCATGTCCTTCAGCCTGTATATTGGCTTGGTCAATAGGATTTTTAAGCTGAGTGCACGTTTCGGCCATTAAGCCCTTTGATGTTGCGAGTACTTTTGATTGGCTTTTTTTATTTTCAATTTTTTTTTCATATGTGTAAATAGCCCATATAGAAGTTTTTAATAGCATCCCCAAAGAGAGGCTAAAATATATATTTACACAGCGTGACAAAAAATCAAGCAGAAAAGTCAGACATGTATGACTGTGATATGCTCATCCCTAAAGTGCTTGATTAAACTTTTATTTAAAATCTAAAATATATATAAACAAATATCTAAACATTTATTTAAAGTAGTTTGCATAAAAAACATTTAATAATTATAACAATTGCTATTTATCAATAATTGTATTTTTTCATAGTATTCATTTTTAATTACTCAAGCCACCCTCGCACTTATGTAAAAGTTCAACTCAATACAGTCTTAAGGCCAGGCTTAACTGCGTCGCCTGACTTTTCGCACGTGACCTTATTTACTTGTCCTGCTGCGTGACTATACCAATGATAGCTATCTCCCTCGCACATATTCTAGGCAAGTGGGAGCTGCAATGAACTGTGCCTTAAATCATTCT